GATGGCGGCAGATTAGTTCCGAACAAACCAGCACTACTGAGGAGAATCACATACCACGAACATTCCCCCCGGTTCTGCACAGTAGTGACTGCAGGAGAAAAATCAACAAATGAATCACACTTTCAAGTCGTCGGACCCTACTTGTGGAATGGTTTGTCTGATATTACCCATCACTGCAACATTGTCACTCAATAAATAGCTGAATATCATCCTGAAACGGAGGTTGATTAGTCCTCTGTTGCAAAATAGTAATAAAGCTGCTGCTACTGTTCTAACCATAGGGTAATCAATCCTAAGTCAAAACCTTAACAACTTTTGGAACCGCAATCTCACAACAAATAGCAATCTCAAGACAACGTACAACAATATTAGGAAATCAGCATTTATTTCGTCAATATTGTGGATTTTTAATCTGCAACAAGGTGGAGGTACCAATGTTGCACTTCGTTGAGACTTGACACGTCTCCGGCACTCGCTGACACAACCAAGACATGAAAAGTTTTTGATCAGGTTAAACCTGCTACCCAAAAAGAGTCTAGATAAAACGTTGATCACGCATTTTTGATCAGGTTAAACCTGCTGCTCAAAAAGTAGCTACCAAACAGAGCCCAGATAAAACGTTGATCACGCTGTTACCGGCTAGAGAAAGTTAGTCTCAGCACGGCTGTCAGGAAGACGAACAAAACCTCGCCAATCACTGCATTACATTATGCACAATACTATTTCTAATACCATGCTACACGCACAAACAATATCTTCAGTTTAGAAACTGGAATCAGTTTTTGAGGATTACTGGTAACCTGGATTGTGTCTACCCATTTGCTACAGGTACAAGTCGGTCTTTGACCGAGCGGTGGAGTTTGACGGCAGTACCGCACGACTTGTTGTCGCGTTTTGATTGAGTAAGTGTTGGTGTTTGACGGCAGTACCGCACGACTTGTTGTCGCGTTTTGATTGAGTAAGTGTTGGTGTTTGACGGCAGTACCGCACGACTTGTTGTCGCGTTTTGATTGAGTAAGTGTTGGTGTTTGACGGCAGTACCGCACGACTTGTTGTCGCGTTTTGATTGAGTAAGTGTTGGTGTTTGACGGCAGTACCGCACGACTTGTTGTCGCGTTTTGATTGAGTAAGTGTTGGTGTTTGACGGCAGTACCGCACGCACGGCGTAATGCCGCGTTTAGGATCTGAAGGCATAGGCGTACCGCATCACCGCATGGGTGTACACATATCGACAGCAGCCCAAAACTGACAAGTCATCACGTGCCTGTTCATGCCTACAACCCCAGTAGACGGCGGGGCACAGCTGACGATGGCGCTGCTGTAGGTCTTAGGGTTGCTGCTGCTGTGCAGGCCCTCGCCGTTGGTGGCCTCTTCGTCTTGTTGGGTGTCGTCAGCCGCGCATGCGGCTGCCCATCGGCGCTACCCAATCACCCTCGACAAAGTCGTTAACGCTAGCGTGTTGGATAAACCGGGTAGGCCGAAGCTTGTAGGTTTGTGGAGAAAGGCAGCTCGGCCAGTGAGGGCCGAGATGGGAAAGTCTTGTATTAGAGGGAAGGGGAAGGGCAGAGAGCACTCGAGGCCGAGCAGCCAAAGAGTGTGTCACCACACCTATCCGTCACGCAATTCAGATCACTCATCGAATCTCCGAAGAAACCAAGCAGAAACTCCCTGTTCCTTTGCGATCTACCAACTGCAATCTCTGTAGATCCATGTCCCANGTGTCACCACACCTATCCGTCACGCAATTCAGATCACTCATCGAATCTCCATANGTCAGCCGCGCATGCGGCTGCCCATCGGCGCTACCCAATCACCCTCGACAAAGCCGTTAACGCTCGCGTGTTGGATAAACCGGGTAGGCCGAAGCTTGTAGGTTTGTGGAGAAAGGCAGCTCGGCCAGTGAGGGCCGAGATGGGAAAGTCTTGTATTAGAGG